CTCAATATCATCATCATCTTGTATTTGATTTGGTTCTGTTGGTTGTTCAGTAATTGCTTATGTTGGTTATTCTGGAATTTCTTCTGTTGGTTGTTATGTTCTGGAATTACTTCTGTTGGTTGTTATGTTCTGGAATTACTTCTGTTGGTTGTTCTGCATTTGCTTCTATTGCTCTTTCTGTATTTGCTTTTGTTTCTTCATTTGCTTCATAATGTTGTTCCAAATTTGGTGCATTTAGCCGATCTACATTTCATTCACTAGGATGCTCTACATTTCCTTGTGGATGTTGTGCATGTGCATGATGTTGTGCATGTTCTTGACTTGGCTCATTTGCTTGTCCTGGATCTGTTTCACTTGGCTAATCATTTTCAATCCTTGCACCAGAATTGAAAGATATGTTACCCTTCTGCGATGCTAACATGGAAATATTTTTATTTCTCTCATCTCATGAAGCTCTTCATGGTCGCTATTCAATACCTTTTCTACTTCACTGTCAATTGAGACATCATCACTTTCATATCCCTTTGGGATAATAGTTTCAGGTTTAGAATGGCCTTCATCAGACACCACNTCTACTTCTGGACTTTTCAGCCAACTCCTCATCATCATCTACCAGTTCTGTTGGTTCAATTTTGTATGTTTCATCCTCTACTAAGTCATCATCATCAGTAGAGGATGCATTCTGATCAAGATGAATTTGAGTAACAATATTTTTTCCCCTTTTCACCTCTTGATAATACTTTCTTCCTTTTAGATTTTGTTTTCTTTCTCATAGGGGTTGTCCTCTTTCTCTTAGGGGTTATCTTTTTTCTCCCTCTGAAAGCACTAGATTTTTTAGGGGTGCACTCATTAGGGTCAGGAACTTCATGCTGATTAGCTTGCACTGGAGGATTTTCAACTGGAGGAATAGCCACTTCAATAGCTTGATCAACAAAATGATTTGCAAAAACCAATTACTCTCTCCTTACTTGCATATTTCTTAAATTTTGCTAAGTCTGTATCTAAGAGAAGAGGCATGACGACTCCAACACCACCTCAGGTATTCCATACCACAAAGTGAAAGCATCACTATACCCATACTCTCTAATTTTTTTCTCTCAACAAGTTTATTGACAGAATGTCTTCCGCAATGATTTACACGTCAAAGGAGCCACTAATGTACTCTTCTGACAGTAGAAACTCAAAAGAACCAACATGTCTGAATTTAATCATAATATTCTCACCCATCTGCATGATGAACAAAAACATAAATGAATTACAACCACAATCACTCTGCTCCAAATCTTACAAAACCCCTAATTTTTTGAAAAATCCAATTCGATGTCATTCACATAAACCCTAGTTTGTTAAAAATAAGACTTATAAACACTTCTTTACTATAATTTCACTTAATAAAGAAATTTTTAAATGCATGCACCATCAAGGACCAAGCAAATGCAGAATATAGTCACCTTTGTCTTTTCGATGAGGATGATATCACACCAGCAGGTTCTAAGACACCGCTTTCACTTTCCCACCATGAAATCTTCAGCGATACCACTAGCAACTGCAAGTTTGGCCACAATCTCCCTAACCATCGCTCCGATGGGTCGATCTTTTGAAACACATGAAGATGGGGCAATCTGTCAAATTTAGGGATTTTGATCTCCAAAAATCAGTTTTTAAGGTCACATGAGCAGCACATGATCAGTTAATGAAATCCACGTCACTAAACCTTACCACATCAGCATTTTATAACGGCCATTAAGTGCCACGTGATGGTCACGTGAGGGGTTTCGCTGGAAAATTTAACTTCGGCCAGAATTTGGACCCAGGTGCCAACTTAAACCCACTTTAAATACCAAAACATCATCGGAGATATTTTAAATACCAATGTGGTAAAAAGGGTCTTTTTAAATATCAATTTGGTAGTTTAGCCAAATTATTATGGACATTTTTACATTTATTTTAAATAAAAATAACATGTCATTGACTGCCCATTTTACCCATATGCTCTTTTCTGCGCTACGACTACGCTTAGGGGCCGTTTGGATAATAGAAGTATTGGAAGTAAGAAGTAGGTTACGGAAGTAACTTTCAAAACTATGAAATAGGAAGTAGCGAAAATAGCATTTTTTTTGTTTGTTTCATATATTGTTAGAAGTAATGGAGTAAAACTTCTTCCTCTTCATTTACTTTTTTTGTTTGGATAATATTTAAAAATATTACTATGAAATAATTAATACTTGTTGCTTCTATTTTATTCTTATTTGGATTGTCATTGAAATAGAAATAAATTTGTTGCTACCATCAATTGAAGACCAATATTCATAGTTGATTTGCTTTATATATAATAAAGTTAATCTTACCATCAATAGAAATAAGGGAGGATTATTTATTTCTAGCAAATCTTTCATTTTTTTTCCAGCTTCAATAATGGTGACAATGAACAGATCATGTGAAATTTCTCATATGATGTTCATTTGAACTGCTACTTATTACGTGATTAAGAAAAATAATTAATGGTTATTTATACCCCAGATTGACGATCCTAAGATAAATTATACGCACACTTTTCATGATAAATTCTAATTATAGTTACAAAGTAGTTTTTTTTCCGGTGGACCCCACTTTTATCAACTTCGGTGGTTTTTCGGAGTCTTTGAAGACGGAAAATTTTCAAGGAAGTGAACATGCCACGTAAACGCCATGTCATCAGTTAAGGAAGTAGCGAAAATAGATTTTCAAGAGAAACAAACATATATTTTTATCTAGAAGTAGGAGAAGTAGCATTTACTTCCTCTACTTCAGCTATTTCATAGTTACTTCAGTGCAAACAAACGGGCCCTTAGCATAAATACATTGACAAAATGGTGCAAGGGAAAGACATACCAACTAACAATAAATGATCTCACTCTGAAAAGAAATAATAAAACCATATAAATTAACAATAACTTATGCATCTTCAAGTCATATTTATATCCAGTAAAAAAACGCATACAGATCAAATAAGGAGCCTAAGAGAGATTATTTGCATGGAAAAGCACGATAAACGAACAAAAACTTAAAATAAGAACTCTTTTCATGCTGAGTACGGACAACTAGAGAGCTTTCACTCTTCTCAAAAAAACTTGCAGCCGAAAATTCAATGAACTCCTCACACATGGTAAGCTCTTACTCAGCCCAGAACCACCAGCCTAGGGTTCTGCAGACTGGGCCCAGCAGACCTGGCCTTCCATCAATACGAGCTTGGGCCCCCAAGCCTGAAGTCCGGCCCGTCCTAAGCCTGGATCGTCGTGTTATTAAGCTGATCTGAGAGAGAGAGAGAGAGAGAGAGAGAGAGAGAGAGAGAGAGAGAGTACGCAAAACTAACACAAGAAAATTGTTATCAATTTTTTTCTTTAATGGCATTCAGAATGAGGAGGAGGATTATGATCGCTCAGAGAATAATATCTCAGAAATAATCGTTCATCATCATGCCCCTGAAAATTTTTATTAACGAATTGATGAAATTTGTCCATCACACTTGTAGAAATTAGAGCATTACATAATAAAAGAAGGGTTTTTTTGAAAGATATTTGTCCAATAAATCATTAGTATTTTGACACTAATCCCTCGAATCTCCATATTTTTATGTATCCAATAATATATTGATATTAGTTCTCGTGGTTAGTTGGGGTTATACAATGCTTGGAAATATTCTATTATGTATAACATTTTTTTAAGGAATGGACAGTTATGCCCTCACTTCTAATACCCAAACTTATAAACCCGTTAAGCTTAAGAAACTCAATAAGATTCCCAAACCCAATCCATTTAAACCTTTATCTTCTCCAACGGTACAATAACAATGAACCCGTCTTCTCCAACGGAAATGAAGAGAAAGAGGGGAGAAGGTGACGGTTTGGTGGATGAATTAAATAGATGGGGGGTATTTTGGTAACTAAATACCCATGATTAGTCTAAACCTAACCAAGGGTAAGGATTTGAACAGAAAACCCAAGAGAGTGACTAATTTATACATACTGCTGCAAATTGAGGGGCCAATATCAAAATATCAGGATTTGAGGGACTCATGTCGAAATACTAATAATTTAAGGGACTGATATCAAAAAATCCCATAAACAAAATACTTATATTAAAAATTCAAAAGTTCTCGACTAAACCTCGAAAATATACTCTTAAAACAAATTGAGCACAATTGTAAAAGGGTCTAAAAATTTTCAAACTTAGTACTATTAATTAGAAAAAGTACAAAAAACTTACAAGTAATCTTTAAAAAAATCTTGTTTGTGATGCTAATATATCAAAATTAGCAGCTTACTTTTTGTAGGCTGGACCATCTTGACGTTCAAACTTAAGAGGCAAGTTCATTAGGATCGTGTGAGGTTCTTTTTTTTTATCCTTACTTGCTAAAAAATTTTATCCAAGAAAAACATAGTTTTATGAGCATCATATGCCGAGAGGATTCTTTTCTATACAATAACATTGCTCAATCTCAACGAAGTGTAGCTATATTCACTTGGTTGATATTGAGCCAACATCAGTATATATAACAAAATATCCCCATATAACAAGGGTATCCATTATTCTTATAGCAATATATCCACATTTAGATCACTTCTCTTAATCATTTATTGATTCAAACAGGTCATAATGATGAAGATGACAAAGATGATAAGGGGCTGCTTGGTTTGCTTAAAAAGCCTAGGGAAACTCAATTCTGGGTCTGACAGCGAGTCCACATCAGATTTTTGGTTTCAAAAATTTTCCCTACGATTAGTTTCCCACAAAAAAAGTGTATACATTAGTTTCCCATCATATTTTATATGTGAACCAAATCCAAACAATTTATTTCTTAGAAAAGTTTGGAAAACCCAAAACTTAGGTATCTTTACATGGACATGTATTTCCCAATACAGAGGAAACAAACCAAACAGCCCCTAACATTCATGGCGAGTAATTTCAGCATTTAATCAGGCTCAAAACGGTGGAAAGAATGTTAACAGAACAAAAGACAATGAAACTCACGGTTAACAAACTGCTAATAGGCAATTTCATAAACAAAAAGAACTGCTGATGGACAAAGAAATGTATTTTACAAATGAAATATTTTTACTTGATGAGTAGGAAGAGTTCCAGCTAAGTAGCAATCAAAATCCAGAGATGAATATCATACATACATGCTTGCAGCATTCACATGGCCGCTAATAACATCGTCTGTTCTGATAAATCCCTGGTCTGTGTGAATCAGCTATTTCAAAACTGCGCTCTGAACAGCAACCGCCACATCAAGCTCAATCCCTCCCACAGAACATTTTATGTACTGCAGTTGTAGCAAGTCTTTGGAAGTAAGGAAGTAAAACCAGCAGAGAAAAAGAAATGTTACTGAACCTTCACCAAAGCAACTGTTCTACACCTTAACGTATTTGTCGACATAACCCTGCAGAGACGTGGGATGTATTACTTAGTGATGACTTTTTTTTAGATATTGTGAGAAACTACCTTAAATATCATGGTCTGCATACAATCTTCCCAGTTGCATGTAATACTTACCATTCCTGGGTATATTACAACTTGAATAGAGGAGAAAATACCTTCCAATACATGCAAAGACCGCTCATAAGAAAATTAACTCTGAGAGAGATAATATAAATTAGCCACAGCACCACATATTTAAGTTGAATTTGTAAACCACCTCGCCCATCTCCACCCACTACCTACGTTGTACCAGTGCAGATAAGGTACAACATGGGTATGTCGATATGTGAATTCTTCAAATGAACGATATGGATACATCATGAATATGGAACAATAAAATTATGTGCATATGGCCTAATCTTATCATCTATAAATGAATTTGTTCCTAATGGTTAAAGAAAGCATGATTGCGAACATAGTATAAAAGAATCCAACTATATATAAGTTAACAATATATAAAATAATAGCTAACATAGAAATCATAGTCTTCATTAATCAAGTGGAAAATTAGATTAATGCATCAATAATTCAAAAGGAATTGTGAGTGTCTCAATTCTGCATTAGGTTTGTGACTTCCTAGTCTCAGATACATCTCTCATCCATCTTAGATACATTCCAAGACATATTAAAAAAAATTATTTAGGAAATTACCTCTAGTCCCCCTGGGTTTAGAAATTTGTGCCCTGACTAAGCACAATTTTGTCACTTTTAGCTATTACTTGTTACACATGTGCACTGTTTTAAAAAACCTCCGCCTAGGCCGCTTAGGCGTACGCCTAGGCCGCTTAGGCGTACGCCTAGGCCGCTTAGGCGTACGCCTAGGCCGCTTAGGCGTACGCCTAGGCCGCTTAGGCGTACGCCTAGGCCTAGACGGTACCTAGGCCGTCTAACTAGCGCCTAACGTCTAGGCGGTAAGCACAATTTTGTCACTTTTAGCTATTACTTGTTACACATGTGCACTGTTTTAAAAAACCTCCGCCTAGGCCGCTTAGGCGTACGCCTAGGCCGCTTAGGCGTACGCCTAGGCCGCTTAGGCGTACGCCTAGGCCTAGACGGTACCTAGGCCGTCTAACTAGCGCCTAACGTCTAGGCGGTATTTAGGATGCCCACCTAGATTTTACGAGCGTTTAGAGGAGCATTGTCTGCTTACGTGGATTGCACCCTATAGGCCTTGATTGTGATTTTATGTGTCGTAGCCTACACGTCCTCCAAACACCATTAACCTCCAAATATGAGCCTACACGTCCTCCAAACACCATTAACCTCCAAATATGAACACCTCCACTACCTCCTCCGACCTTCAGCAAAACCTCATCGACCACCACCCAAATATGAACACCTCCACTACCTCCTCCGACCTTCAGCAAAACCTCATCGACCACCACTTAAATAAAGAAAAAAAAACGCCCATAAACCATTTAAGCGCCCGCCTAGGCGACTAAGCGCTGGGCGCCAAGTCCGACGCCTAGAAGCGTCCAGCGTTTAATGTAACATTGCACATGTGTCAAATTTTTCAACTTCTTAGCAATTATTTTACCTGCGATGTCTTTGCTGGGAAGAAGTTGAAAGAGTGGAAAGAAAAGTGCAAGAAAAGTAAACGTAACATTTAACATAGAAAAACAACATTTAACAAATGAATGTAAATAAAATAGGAAAATGTAACACAAGTGATATGTACTGTTGGGACTTATTTCTCAGAAACTGCGCACAGAACAGATTTTATGTGGAGTGTCCAGGGATAAATTGGGAAGAGAAAAAGGGGGATGAGCTGTAAAGCAGTAGTAGGGGAGTAAATGAACAATTCTTAGGGTCCAAGGGGTATTGGGCAGTTGATTTTTTTGTGGGTTTTCTTTTTCTTTTTTTCTTTTTCTTTTTTTTTTTTTTGGCAATTTCTCTTTTTTTTATACAACATACATAGAAGTATCGACAAGCGTTCCTCAAGAATCTAAGTATCCAAGGATCAAGTATAAGCACACCTTGAAAGATCCTTCATCGAAACAATTTTTAGCTGCTAACCCACCAGAAAACAGACCCAAAAAACTGGGTCTATGTCTAAGTGTGGATGCATGCGCACAACACATATGCACCATTTTGCTTCCTCAATCAATCATATCTATTCTAATAACAAACAGCCTATGACACGAAGGACACTTCCCAACAAAAAGTCATATCCAACAAACCAGGACATTTCAAATTTACGTAAGATATTTGCCTACATTATTATATTTATATAATATATATATATATATATATAGTATATATATATATATATACTATAGGAGAGAGAGAGAGTAAACTTGTGTCAACTTAAGTGGACGGTCCGACTAAGTTTCCTTACCCATTTGATGATCCTTGATTGAGCTGCTTTTGATGGATGATCCGGGCTCCGTTTAAACTTGATCTACATATTCTTAAAACCCCAACACAACCCCAAATTTGGGGTGAACCCGTCCGTGGGTTTGACCCTCCGTCCGATGCCATGTAAAAAAGTTCTAATTCATTGAAACCATTAAAATTGATACGAGGTGGGATGAAGGGTCCCAAACCATTGACGGATTCAACCCAAAATTTGGTGGTGTTGGGGTTTTAGAAGTATGTAAGATCAAGGTTCAACGGAAGGCGGATCATCCACAAAAGCAGCTCAATCAAAGTGATGCAATCAATGGGTAAAGAAACCTTAGGTGGACGGTCCACTTAGTTTGACACAAGTTTTACTCTATTATATATTATACTAGTAGTTAATATATAGTGTATACATATATATATTATATATATTAGTATTATATATAGGCCTATAATAGTATATAGTATAGCTATCAGGCAGATTTAATGGTTGCTCCTTTTGGCAGAAACCTATTTGAGTTATTAGAGGATTGTTTATAAATTTAGGTTCTTTTGTAACCATGAATGAAAAGAATAACGATTTTATTGAGTTTAGAACATTATATTCATACATGTGGGAAAGAACTGTAGTTTGATGTGTCACCTATTCTCATCCACTTCATGTGTCAATTTCTGAACCACTCCCCAACCCGATGTGAAGTGTGGCCCAGAATTTTAATTGGAGGTGTTGGGGGAATAGCCAAACCTCACTTACCAAGCATACTCATGTCTCTCTCTCTCTCTCTCTCTCCTCTCTCTCTCTCTCTCGTTCCTCTCTCTGTCTCTCGGGAGTATATAGTAAGTAGATATAATATGGTATATTGATGATATGGTTATATATTATATTAGGATTAATTGTTGTGATGGCAACCCCATGTCCACACACTATGTTACATATGTACGAGTGCATAACAGTACACGACAAACTTGTGAAAGGTAGGACACTGGGACATGATTATATATACTCTCTCTCTCTCTCTCTCTCTTGAAGTCAATAATTTACATGAGATTGATTTCGTTTTTTCATTGACAAGTTGTGAAAACTAACATTCCCATAATATTTGAAGTCAATAATTTACATGAGATTGATTTCGTTTTTTCATTGACAAGTTGTGAAAACTAACATTCCCATAATATTTTTATGTTTCATTTATAAAGTAGATTATAAATTGGAAAATCATTTATTCTTTGAACTAGCTACCTAAACAAATTCTGAACCTAAGTTACTTGTACACTTCGTTTTGGATGCCATATCCATGTCACACACGTGTCAGACATGGATTCACCGCGGAAATGATATGGACACATTGGTTCAAACAATGTTTTAAAAAACCTCCGCCTAGCCCGCCTAGGCATACGTCTAAGCGATACCTTAACCGCCTACCTAGCGCCTAGTGCCTAGGCAGTACGTAGGTTGTCCACCTATATTTTAAGAACGCTCAGGGGGTGTGGTCTGCCTATATGGACTGCACCCTTTGGGCATTGATCATGATTTCCTACAGTTTTCACGTTCTCCAACCTCCTCCAAACTCTAACTATGAGCACTTTCTCTACCTCTCCTGAACTTGGAACAAAACATCATCCACCACTAACGAAATCTAGCTAGATGTCAGCCTAGTGCCTAAACTTTCTATAATATTGATATTTACAATTAGTAATTACAATTAAAAATTAAAAAATAGAAAAATGCCTAGGCCAGCCTAGGCGGAAGGTTGTAGGCGTTAGGTCCAACGCCTAGGCCGCCTAACGCTTTCTGTAATCTTGGGTTCAAAAAAACTTGATTTCCCCATTACTTATAACCCTAAACTAATTTCTTTGGTGTATCAAGCTCAAAACCAATAGGTTTTTGAACCTCAAAACCAAAACCATTAGTTAAAGATTTTGAAAAATACCCATCATATCTCATGCTACCATAACAAAGCTTTTCTTGTTAAACCTTAATTCATTGCTTGATTTAACTTGATTCTTAATTGTTATGGATAGTAAAGACGCATACAAATATTATGGGTATTTTAATTTCATATTTGATCTTATGTAAATTTTACACACATATAAGTTGTATATCTACTTGTCCTCGTATTTTGTCTTTTACAATTTTTTTGTGTCTCATGTCTGTATTCGTATCCGTGTCTGCATTCAAACTCATATCCATGCAACCTAGTTCTGAATTGGGTATGGGTTGAAACGAAACCGACCCGGATCCAACGAGTTGCAGGAAGCGAATGTGAAGTGTAAGATATATCTGTAGGCTATGTAGCACGGACACGGATCCAACACGGCCATCCGACACGCCGACACGAGGCAAATCCTAAAAAATACATAGGATACGTGTGTTCGACACGTGCGTCCGACACGGACACGACACGACACGACACGGCTTCATGTTATGCGTGTCCGTGCTTCATAGTCTGTAGGAAGCGTATGATGATTGTTTTAAACTAAAACATATGTTATATAATTGAGTTCATGTTTGAATAAACGTATGCATATTCAAGGAGCATCAGAGTCGAACACATGTCGGATACGGATACAAAAGCCTGAGCGAATTGTCCGGGTAACATAGTCCATGCATGATACTTGTCGTCATGTCCACTAATCATAGCTAAAATTACCACCTGCATACACACATCATATCACTTCCTCACTCAATCCCATATTCAATAACAATAGAGCCTTTATCCCAATTTTTGGTGGTGGTTACATGAACCCTGCTCTTCCACTTCCACTTCCACTTAGTTCTATTTAGGGTTTCTCCTTCTTCATTGTAATCCTATCACTTCTGCTAAGGTACATTTAATGTTCTTCTTAAAACATGACTAAATGTATTCATGACCTCGTAAGAGCATCCTCTAACTACCTACGAATGCATTCATTTCTTATCTCTTAGTGTATATCTAATCATCCACCGTGACATTCTCATCTCTATTAAACTCAATGTTTTTACATGTATTTAATATTGTAATAATCAGTGTTATTAAGGCACAAGGCGCAATGCAGGGTGCAAAGGCTCCTTACGCGCACCATGCGCAAGGCGCATAACGATACGCGCGCCTCACTGAATTGAGGTGCACACCTCAAACAAGTATTTTTCAAGATAAGACAAACAAGCATATAAGCAACATTTATAATTTGTCACATAAAAAGACTAAGAAATATAATTTTACCTACTAAATCACAAAAGTGTTTTAATTAGTATGCATAACATAGTGAGGTTCATAAGTTTCCACAAATCACAATGCAAGATAATCTCCAACATAAGCAAAAGTCTACAAAACAAAACAAGCAAGTAACAAATAAAAAATATGTATTTTTATTTAAAATATGATATGTATTTTTAAGTAACAATTAAGTGATTAATAAACATGACTGTTCATAATTTTCTAGTTAGCATTCTTAATTGCTATTTGGTACTTAGCATAAAAAGATGAAGAATGAATGTAACAATTATATATTTACAAGTTCATAATTTTCTAGTTAGCATGCTAATTAGAGAAGTTACAATTAACAAACAAGTATACTAAATTACTAATTATTATTTCCTTTTAATAGGTTAAACATGAAAAGATGGAGAATGGATTAGCAACTAGCAAGAAAAAGTCTATTACATGATGTAAATATGTAATTATGTAAATTATTTTTAAAAAGAAAAAACAGAAGAAAACAAAAGAAAAAAATCTAGAAAAAACAAAAAAAAAACTGATTTCTCCAGAGATAGTCGGCGACGTTCGGGGTCATCGGTCGTTGTCGTCGTCAGCTGACTCGTTGGGGTTGGGAGGGAGCAGACGAGAGAGAGGAAGTGGGCGCGTGAGAGAGGAGAGAAAGACAGCGACGGGTTTTGAAACCCTAAAATCAAAACTCATTCATTTTACAAATCGGGTTTATGAAATCAGCGGGTTTCATACATGAAACCCATCTCATTTTACAAAACATGGCTTAGGCGCACGATGCGATGCGCCTGACGCAGGTGCCAAGCGCACACGAGGCGCACGCCTCGTGTGCGTGCAGCGCCCCACCTCTGGTGCGGGTCGGATTTGTCCCAGTCCGCAGCGCCCCACACCTGGGACGCGCGCCTCGATAACAGTGGTAATAATAAAAAATCCTCATGCATACCTTTGTGCCTCCCTCACCATTTGCTCTAATAATAAAAATCCTACCCAAACACTAGATTGAGGAGATGTTTAAAATAGCTTTAAAATGCACATCATTCATCTTTTGTTTTATTCCATTATTCTAATAGTGACAACTCTTTACCGGAACTACAATGACAACCATGTTTTGCAAGATAGCTAGTGAAAAAGGTTATGAAAAGGTTCATTCATTCACAATATTTCCTTTGCTTTCTTAATTACTGCATTCATTCACATTTTAGTAACAATCATCCACAAAACATATAAGACGAGGTCATGAAAATATAAATAGTAAAAGGTTGGTAAAAGGGTAATGACCAATCATGATGTTTTATAAGGAAATCTAAGTTAACCAATATAATAACTTCCAAATAATATTAGAAACAGGTAAAAAAACACATACCATCACCAGCTTAGTTAATTTTCTCTGTGATGACTCAACGTACTGATTGATCTTAGCTTGTGACTTGGGAATCTGATGGCTTGCCATTGCCCCGGAGACTTTATCAACTGTTTTCTTCACTATGGTCTTGAAAGCTTCCTTGCTCATGTTTCCTTGTCGCCATGATGGCTTGAGGACTTCCTTCACAAAATCTGCTAGGGCAATCTTGAAAAGCTTCATTGAACGGGAGTCCTTGCTCTTTTTACTCTTCCCAGGTGATCGAACATGATCAATTTCAATCTCACCTGTAGCTGCATTGTCCATATCTGCAGGAAGGGCTGGGCTCCAATCTTTATCATCTATCAGTTGAGGGCTGGCATTCTCTACCACACCAACTTCTGCATCCATTGCCACCTCGCCAAATTCATCAACTTCCGACTTATGTTCACCACCTGCACTCCCTTTTTGTTTACTGTTCTCCCCTATATCAGCAGATTTATGCAAACTGCTGAGCTTGGATTTGATGCCCACCTCATTAACAGCTATATTTGGCTCTCTAACCTCATCAAACATCTTGAGTGGATTAGAAGATGGTTCAATGCTGTCAAAAAGTGGATCATAAGCATCACCAGCTACAGGATTCTTAACCACCAGCTTCTGCGCATCTGAAAGTGAAACTGCATTTTTTTGCGAGAAGACACCAGCTCTTGGTGAAATCTGCTCACTGGGTTTTTTAGAATTAGGCAGTGAGGATGTTAGTGTTGATTCTAGGCCTACTGGAGCATGACCTGAACTGAAAGGAGAATCATATTTACTAGCGTAGTTCATGTCATTTTCTTGTCCTGAAACATTATACTTTTTCCCTGCAGGTACTTGTTCAAAAGTAGATGCAAATGGGTTGAAGTGTGGTGGTCGTTTATCCAGGAAACTTGATGGGTATCTCTTCAAAGAAGGATCAACCAATCCAGCAGTACTCATATTTGGAGGATAATTGCTGCTGATATTTTGGGGTTGGGCGTATGGAGGTGGGCATTGAGAAGAAGGCAAATCTTTAATATCAGGATCAAATTCCTCCCTTGAGAATGGCCTCACATCCACATGTTCCACGAGGAAAGAAGGTGATACATTTGGAAGATGCTCCCTTGGTAAAGACAAAGGAGGATGTGGAAATCGATCTTGACTGACATATGGGTGCTCATGAGAAGTCCCCATCAGTAATGGCCTTCTTCTAAGTTCGTCCACGTGCAAAGGAGGTTGTTGAAATGGCTCTAACGGGTGAAAAGATTGTTGATGGAAGACGCCCCTAACTGGACGAGTCATTTCTCCTGGTTGAAAAGGCCTCATCACAGGATTGAAGTCATGTATAGGCGGCATCACAAGTGAAGATGGAGGTGGAGGAATATTGTGCCACGCAGAATTTTGAGAAGGCATGCCATAAGAATGGTAGTCATTAACCATAGGAGGATGGGAGGAAGAAAAAATATCTGAAGGAGGCTGAACGTGGTAATTTGTGGCGCTTGGATGAAAAGCAGCATGATATTGAGAGGCAAAAGGTGCACTTAGATTGTCCGATGGCAAATGCGGCTGTGAAGGAGGTCCTGGTGGACCAGGTGGGACTTGTTGAGATGGCTGCGAGTAGACATTAAGATTCGACATCTTGGCAGGTTGAAAATCTTTCGGGGATATAGACTTATTTTCAAAAGCATGCGGTAATGATCCTTCATGAGAAGATTGGGCAAAATTTTGAGGTTGTGAAACATTATTGGGGTCAGCAATTAGAGGAGGCTGGTCACTACCAGTAGATGTAGATTGATTAAGCATACTGTCAGCTTGAAGGAACTGGGAGGACTTAAAAGAAGGGTCCTGAATTTTCATAGATTCAGAAGTTTCTGTGACTTCCTCTACCTGTGATGTCTCCACGTTGTTGACCGCCTCTTGGGAAACTTGGTTTGTAACCTGTGTCCTTTTGATAACATCATTTACAGGAGGCAATGCTTTGTTGGCTTTAGAGGCTGACATATCTTTCTCACTAAAATCTCCAGCATTGTCAGCCATGGTGTTGTCTCCAGACTGGTCTCTATGATCTTGCATCTCAATGCTCTTTACATCTTCCTGGGGGGTATCACTGTGTTCCCCAATAGCCATTTCTGTCTCTGCAGTTTTATCAAGTTCAAAAGATGTGAAAGTGTCACGTTTCAAATAGTTCTTAGACTCCCGTGGAGTATCATACTGTTGTTGTTTGCTCATATGCCTTGTGGAATCACGATGGAGAAATCTACATGATGCCCCACGAAAGCACCTACCTCGCTTAAAGTCCAAACACTCCGTAGGTTGATCCCGATCACGTCTTGAATTAACATTTGCATGCCTAAATGCTGGCGGAGACTTGCTCCTGCGCCGTCTTGGTGACCAGCTGAAACATACATATGAGTGGACTTACATAAGTGACAAATAGCAAGGATGTATGTATACGAGGTAAAACTCAAGTCCAGATAAAGACAATCCAGTAGTGAAGAAATATGTGATATTAATACAAACCTGTGAGATCGGTTTCTCTTCTCTCTCCCCCTAGGACTGCGGCTCCTATGCTTCCACCTACTTTCTTGAGGTGACCTACTCCGGCTCCTCTTCCTTCCCCTTCTAGAACGCCTTTTACTAAGATGCACCTCGTCAGAATCGGTATCACTTGTACCTTTTCTTACTAGTCGCCCGAACTCATCCACATCCAGCTCAGTAGAATCCTGATTTGCATACTTTTCCGGCTGATGCTTTCCAACTTGATCATGAGTATCCATGTTGTCAGCAGCTACAAGACCACTGCTCTGAGAAGGCTCACATTTCATGATCTCATCATTCAGTCTTTCATGATAATGGGGATCAAACCCTTCATTCGACGGGTTAACAGAAGGACAGATAGCACTTTGAGACGTAGCCTTAACAGGCAAACAGCTCAAAGCATCACCTTCTTCAGCATTTTCCATTTTGTCCATTTTGTCATCTTCTTCACTGTCATCTGAAGCATAACCTTGAATAAGACGAAATGGGCTTCCATCTTTAACATACACTGTCGGAGCTTCCACAGTTCTGCCTAGTGCAGGAGCTGAAATATTGATGTTACTCGAATCTTCAGTGGGCAAACCAACGGATCCCTGCACACTATTCCCTAGGGCTTGTCCAGCAGTATTTGGTGACTGCCTGACAGGGCTAACATCTTCTAGGAATGACAGACCCTTTCCATCTGAAGATTACTGTCATGGTTAGAATGTCCAAAACATCGTCCCAGAAACACATAAGAATACATTACTTGGAAGGAACCAAGTATGAGAAGAATTTCTTAACAAGTGAATGTGAGAAAGTCACAGATATTAATGTAAACTTGCAGAAAAACAGTTGAAAATGGAGCATAACCGATCTTTGAAGATTGTAATTAAACAGCACAACCTTGGTATCAAGAGGAAACGGCAGTTGCATGAACATATTCCTATTTCAACTAGCAACATCACAAAGTCCTACACTATTTTAAAACAAATAATTATAAAAATATGCATGAACAGATTGATATTCAAAATGCGCATGACATGAACCTCAATATAAAAGACACAGACATGCGAAGATAAACACTTCAGTTAAAAATCCTGATATCAATGAAGAATAAAACATAAATGTTGGAAAAAAAATGTATGACATGAGTTACTGATTAACTAACCATGGGATTCCGGACTAGATAGATGGAACAGCTCCTATTTGACCTAGCCAGTTGGATAAAGTACATGGGTAACTATGGAGGTTTCTTCAAAAGGCAAAAACTAAACAAAAGATGAAGAGAAAGGTGTTTATGCCAAAAACAGTATCAATCGGAAATACACAATAAGATGACCATTACAATGAAGAAGTTTCTTTAATAATTTGACAAATAATAATGCAGATCACGTAATGCTAGCCAACAGTTTAACCTATGACGTCCTTCCAAGTACAAAAATGCAGCATAGTCCATAAAAAACCATCATCATACTGAAAAACCCACAGAAGAAGAATTGATATCTACAAGAAAATTGAAGTTAAACATGTGTAAAATTCTCAAGTCATACATAGAACACCTGAAAACATCGTAAACCAATCATAAAATGAACTAGCAAATGAGTTAGTTTTTCATTTTTTTTTTTCAGCTTCTTTCATTTGTCACTCTAGCTGCATATGTCTAAAACCTTTAAATATGTTCCTTAGCTAATTCTTGAATGCTATTCATCTTAGTTCTTACCCTCACTTCTTATTACATCCAATACATGTTATCCTACTTATCTACTTGACCTCTCTTTGATAAATCTCTTAATGACATCTGCAAGGTTGAAGGAAAATCAAGTTTTCATCAATATTTTTTGTGGGAAAAGTGGAGTCCAGTTAGTTCTTACCCTCACTTCTTATTACATCCAATACATGTTATCCTACTTATCTACTCAACCTCTCTTTGATAAATCTCTTAATGACATCTGCAAGGTTGAAGGAAAATCAAGTTTTCATCAATATTTTTTGTGGGAAAAGTGGAGTCCAGTTCCTTTCCTTTGAACTCATGCATATAGCTTAATAATCCCTCCTAAGCACAGGCACTGTGCTCAGAATAAATCATGGTAACCACCGACATTTTCTTTCAAACTGACAGTTACCACATGCTTCCATATGCATCTTAACACATGCTTCCATATGCATCTCCAGCAACTTTTATGCTGCTCTTGCCACCTCATAACTCTGATGGTTCACCAAAATAACTGACAAATTGAGACCTTCAATGTTGAGCATTCAAAGTTGATGTCAGCAGAGATACAATGTTGTCAACTGACAGCAGTATCGGATTCACAGCTTCCAAACCATTACCAAGGTTGCATAAGAAGCATTACTGGCAGAGAAAATCCATAGAGTGGAGGATGTCATGAAAAATGATACGGGTAATGCACATATTAATTTCCACCATCCCAGGTACTGCCCATGCATTGCTATGAAGAAAAGAAAAAGAGAAAGAATGCCCCAAAACCTTTCAAGAAAAATCCTAATTCATAAGGGCACAACAAACGGTTATTTTTAACAGGGTCATTGACGACTGTGTGCTTACCACTATGAGGCCTCTGAAAATGAAAACAAATGATTAAAGAGATTCTTGAAGGTGAAATACCCAGTACATAACAATCCTCAATGCACAAAGATGTTGATCCAGCAAAGGGTAATGTATCAATAATGAATTCAAGAATTAAGAAGATTAATTCACCCTCATTTTCTTGAGTTTGTTGACACATTATATCCAGAATCTACAGGACACAAGAGAACATTCCACAGCTAGATAACATTATGAGTTGTATCCATACGCAAGAGATGATGAGTGCAAGAATTAAGAAGATTAAATCACCCTTGTTCTCATGAGTTCATTGGCACGTTTTACCCAGTATCTACAAGATAAACAAGACACAAGAAAACATTCCACAGCTACATACTAGACAACGTTACATAAGTTGTGTCCATATCCAATATGTGTTGCACGTAAACATGACTCACTCAAGACATGCTGGAAACATGTTGGATAGCTAAAATATATCCAAGAACGGGAATTGAAGGAAAAAGTTGTGCGCATCCCTTGGCCAAGTTAATGGATGATTGCCAGTTTGCCAAAGCCCATTATTGCAGAGTAGAAAGGTAAAATAGTCAAAGTCTCTGTCATGTTACTTGATGTAACTAATAAGTAACACCCAAAAAGTAATGAATGTAAACTACAAGCCTTCCTCTTTCAACAAGCACGAGTGCTCCTATCATCCAAAAGAAAATAATTCAAAAACTAAATATATGCACTTGGAAAAGGGGGGAACATTCAGATCATAGCAATATACCCAGTGGAAAATAGGCTTCAATACAAAAATCAAATTTTCATGATTGTCATTTTAGGTGTAAATGTCTGAAACAGCTGCTAACCATTAAATTCAAGCCAAGTCATCCACTCATGTAGACAGAAGTAGGAACAACATCAGTGGAAGTGATAAGTTGGAAGAAGAACATACTTGTGTGTGATTGTTATTCCCATTTTGAAAAGTCCTCTTTCCAGCTGTTTGTCCATTTTATTAACACGACTAAACTTACTGATAATTGCATAATATCTTGATGGAAAGTGGTCAAAAAATGACAACATAAAATGAAAAAACAGCACATTTTAATATCTTGTTCGATGATAATTAGCTACATAAAATAAACAATAGTGAACAAGTATATAATTGCCATCTACTACGAGAAATAAACAAAATGAAATTACCAAAGTAGACTCTGCAAGGTAGGAAAATGTATCCAAGTACAGAAAAAATTCAACAAATACCTTCCCCATCATGCAGAAACTGTTCAGACCCAGTAAGAGTGTTAGATGCTCCAACAACTTGTGCAAGCTGCTCTGATGCAGGATAAGTCTTTTTGACATCATCATTTTTATTACATAAAAATATAACCTTGCAATCTGGTTCTTTTATTGATTCATCAACCGTCTTGTCTGCATCAGGATGACTGACATCATCTATATACACAGTAAAACATGTTTAGATTGGGAAAAAAACCATCCAAGCATATGATCAGCAAAATAACAAATTTAACAAAAAATGACCACATTGAAAGGACAAAAGAATTGTATTATGATCATGGCAGGTGCATTTGTGCATGAGCTGGGGATTGGTGCATAGGGTGTACACAACCCAAAATGACAATTTGAATAAAACAGGGAGAAATAGAAAGGAGTAAAATAATAAGAATACAGCAATAGAATCTGCAAAACCATAGTGGAACGGGCACGGGACACGACAATTTTGTAAAAGATAGGCTATGGGTGTAGGTGTATAGGAAATGATGAACATGAAGCGGCAACTCGGTTTGCTAAATGAGCTACCAAAAGATGGACATGTGGTGAGGCCCACTCTCCTAGTCAAATCAAAAGGTATGGGGCTCATTCTAACTCTCTCGTGCTAGCTCATTTTGCTAAATGAGCCGCCACCTCATAACCATCAAACCTGTATTGCATGGGTACGGGTCACAGAAAATTTGCAAAAGGTAGGGTACAGGGACACGGCACTATAAATGTTTATATACACATATATTATATATTGAAATTAATAGATTACATGATATCAATATTTTTTTTATTCACATGTTATGAGAATTAAAATTCATTAACATTATTATGTTTCTTTTATTATGTGGAATATAAACTGTAAAAACAGTGAACTTTTGAACTAGACACCCAAACAACCATTAAAATCATAATATGGAATCCCACAAGTTGCAAGAACTGGATATGAAGTGTTCAATTTACGTCCAGATAATTTTAACAAGAGTTTTAAATTAAAACATGTATTGTTTGATTGAATACATGCTTAAATAAACGCATGCATATACGCAAGGAGTGTCCAATGATGCCCACTTTTATCATATACACACACACAGAGATGTGTGTGTGTGTGTGTACACACACACACACACACACACATACATACATACATACATACAGATATACACACATCTATATATATGTATGTATATACATACACACACACACACACACACACACACACACACACACACAATATAATATACTATATACATAATATATATATATATTATATATAATATATATATATATAATATATATTATATTATATAGTATATATATATAATATATATAATATATATATATAATAGATATATATATATATATATTTATATATATATATTATATATGAATATACATACATACATACATACATACATATATACACATCTATGTATATGATATGTATGTATGTGTTGTGTGTATACACACACAATGAATAATACATATGTAGTGTTATATATTGTGTTGTTAATCATATATATACACACACACACAGCGTGATATACATATGTGTGAGTTGTGTATGTATATTTGCTGTGTGTATAATTAATAATTATATATATATATACTATTATATATATATATTTATATAGAGAAGAGAGAACGAGAGAGCAGAGATTGATTAATGTACATGAGATCAATATTGTTTTTCATGTTATGAGAATTAAAATTCATATAGCATTTTTGTTTCTTTTATTATGTAGATTATAAATTGAAAAATTGCTCATTTTTTAATTACATCCAAACGACCCTTTAAAATCATAGTTTTTAATTGGGAGGGGTGGAAATGAAGCCGATCCATGTCCAACGAGCTTCAACAAGTGGATGTGAAGTGTAGGACACATTTCCAAAAAGTGTATGACAAGTATTTTAAATTGAAACATGTATTATACAACTAGGAGATGTACAAATAAATGTATGCATATAATTAAGGAGTGTGCAAGGAAATGTCGGTGTGGGTGTGAGTACGGGTACGATACACATCTAGTATGGGCACTGCTTCATGATATAAGTACCTGGGAACATAGCTTAGAAGCAACGAAACACCCCATTGGTAAACAAAAAATAACCGATGAGTAGATAACAGTAATAGGTGTAACAGCAAGCCACATCATATGGGTTGCACGATTCTAATGATGTGATTAGTTTTTGCATAAGTAGGTTTCAAAGATAATAAATGACCCACATTGAAAGATAAAAGCAAGAATTAATTTCAAAAAACGTAGTAGTAGCAATAGCAACAAGCATGTCCGAAAATTTTAATTTATACCAATTGAAGATTCTACTTAATAGATCAGTATTTACAAGTGCAAATCTAGAATAGGTTTCTCAAATATATATGCATGACTGCTACAGGGTGCAAAGTGAGTTCAAACTCTGTTGCTAATCAAGAAGAACATCATCAATGGAAGTGTTAGGGTATGAATATGCTACAAGTATTTCTTAAAATGTCAATGAAGCAATGTACCTCACCTTCCATATCCATGTCTGAAGTGGCGGG